AAGAATTTGAACCGATAGACATGCGTACCAATTTCTAAGTTGCTTAAGAATTACGGATTTGTTTCATAACACTTACATAGAAACGAAGATGGAAGCCTTAGACTCGCAAAAGTATTTAAAACCGTTACAGTTACAACTTTATTTCCAAACTTAGCTTCACTATTTAGTGATATTGTAAAGGAATATCTTCGAGATATTTCCCCTTGTTCTAATAATCGTTATTATGATAACTCCTCAACAGTGCATACGTTTCAGAAAACAATACACAACAGTCACTACAGCTTAATTTCACATTGCACAGATCAAATGACCACCGAGTATACAAAGCGGATACGAATATGGATGAATGAGTAGGAATTGAGAAGTATGAGAAAAAGTCATCATGCGCTTTGAGCTAGTAAGCAGAGTATACATATGAGCTGTAACACAGGACTATTCATATTTGTTCAGTAGGGGATAAGAATACTAATGTAAAGATATAGGCAAACTGAGTGAGACTATAATTTATGGACGACCTTTTGAGAAATTCCTAAGTGACTTTAAGAAGATTCAACTAATTAGTAGGGTCAATAGAGAGTTATAGATTGGTGTAAAGAATTAGGATTAAGAAGAAATTTTGATATTTAGGTTTTTCATCATTAACTAATAATAGCTATAATATCAAAAAGCTATTTAGCCATATGAATAAATGAACTTCAGATTGAAATCCAAGACTTTCTATCATTAATTTCATCGGTTATACCATAAATCATAGTCTCGTAACAAACTCAAGTGTATATGAAAATGTTATGATACTACCCACATAAAACTTGATGTAAACAATGAAAAATAGAATTCTTAAACTAGAAAACTCGATAGAGTTGAAAACTAATTAATTATTATCAATAAAGATGAATGATGGCTAGCATTTGAATCGAGGACGCATGTTTAGTCTTATTCGGAACTTGTCAGCTGAATGTACCTACATCCTGGAGTCAGTGTTCACTCCGGAACTGTAACACAGTACTGTTTGCTCCAAAAACACCTTTGAGTTATCCACTTAGCTACTGAATCCTAATAACCACTAGCCACTAGGACGAAACGTGTGTCATGGATTCCACTGCTAGTCACTATCCATCTCTGCGTATAATCCTCGTAACTTAAAGCAATATCGAGCCAATCTGTGCAGGGCATACATATGCCAATAAGAAACGGATCAATTGTAGTCCTAAACATTAATGAGAAGATTCAAACAAACAATAAAATTATAGTTGAAGGCATGAGTCAATTGAAGCTAGACCACCAAGGAAAACCTGGAAGCACTAGACGGCCGTTTCGTTCTATTATGGAACTCCTGAGCAGTGCGCATCCACGAGTGCTCTGGTGCGTGACTGGTAGGTCCTAGGTTTAAATCTCGCGAATCGAGATCGTGGATGCGCACTTCCACTCAGGAGTTCCACAATCGGACGAAACGGCTATCCATTGCTTCCAGGTTTTCCTTAGTAGTCTAGCTTCAATTGACTCATGCCTTCAACTATGAAAATACTGAAATCTCCACAAAACCCCTTCTGATAAGAATAAAATTAACTTATTAATTATGTCATTAAACTATCAATCTATTGATTGTATCACAAACTAAACTTTATCAAATGCCATTTTTAAAAAAGATACAAATCTAGACACCTAAAAATTCCTTTCAAGTAATAAGTTAACACTAAAGTGAATTGATTCATTTAATCAAATAAAAGAATAATTTGAACTACAGGTGAATCCATTAATTCTATATGAAGTACCAAACACACAAAAAAGAAGACACTAACTACTAACTTAGCAACACACTATTCAAAAAACCAAGAAAAAGAAGACACTACATCCTAATTTAGCAACCCACTATTGAACAAAAAAATTTTAAAAAAAAGATTTTTTTTTAGTAGTCACTCATGTTGTTATATCACCATGACTATACACATCTATTTAATGATGTTGTTAACACTATGTGTCAATTCTAATCATAATCAAATTTGGTTTATGATGATTTTCTATTTAAGTCTATTTTCATGTGTCATCTCTGTAACTGTATCAAATTGTATTTCTTTTATATATAATATAAAGATGTTTATGAGTACTTTGTCTATATTGTATCTGTTTACTTGTTTGCTTTTGATACATTATGTACATGATTCATATCTAACTAGATTGAATAGAATAATTGATTTAGAATATTTTATGTACTTAAACTAGTTTATATGCTTGAAATCATTAGTCAGTTGAAGCTAGATCACCGTGGAAAATCTGGAAGCACTGCTTTAAGGCAGTTTCGTCCCATTGTGGGACTCCTCAGTGGTAGTGCACATCCACGATCCCGCCTCACGAGATTGGAACCCTGAACCTAGCAGTCTCACGCGAGAGCACTTAACCGATAGACCACTGAGCCGGCATCCAACAAAATAAAATAAGGGAACAAATAAACTGACGTATTTAAAACTAAAATACTTTGTGATTCATACATATAATATCAGAAGGGGTTTGTGGATATTATAGTAATTTCAATAGTTGAGATCTCAACTAGTGACTGGCTTTAAGACGTATTTCCTGGAGTTTTAGTGAGAAGAAGTGACCACTGGAGTTCAACCAGGTCTGTTGGGAGATATCAACTCATTAAAGACAATTGTGGATGTGTCGCTCAATTTCGTGGCTCGGTTGAAGTTAGACACCAACACCGTTGGATGCCGCTCAATGGTCTGTCGATTAAGTGCTCTGGCGTGAGACTGGTAGGTCCTGTGTTCGAACCTAGCAAGGCGGGATCGTGAATGTGCACTTCTGAGGAGTCCGACAATAGGACAAAACGACCGTCCAGTGTTTCCAGGTTTTTCACGGTGGTCTAGCTTTAATTGACTCGTGATTTGAACTACATATATATATAAAGAATTGCTAAAAATCTCCACAAAAATTCACCTTAAATTAATTGGTAAATTTTCTTCGCAAATTTTATTATTTTTCAATCTGTCATTGAAAAAATAGTTCAGTAGTAGTGACTCTAATTGTAAATATGGGTGACATGAGGTCGAGTCGGCCAAAATGTATCAGTTCCATTATGGTTACAGGTGAAACTTGCTGACAAGTACCAAATAGCATGAAACCGAGGCTGGTCAGAGTTTCTTCTAGATTACTTCCAACTACCATCTTAAATCTTTTGAGTCTGGTTATCTGAAGTTTCTGTTTGAAATATCCTACAATACCTCACTTGTATAATCTTATATTATTCATTTGTCAACGTTTATACGCCTCTCAACGACTTCGATCTAACAAATATAAATACTCGTGAATACGTGGATTATATACATTGTTCAATGAGTCAGAGGTACAAGACGCACCATTACAGTCTCTTAGTTGTTTTTTTTTCTATTTCTAAAGTTATTCTTTCATGATATTGCCGATTTCAATCGAATTAAAACAAAAAATACTTGGAGGCCTATTGAATCATATGTTTACAAATAGGGATACATTCGTTTATGTGTTTAGTTAGCTTTTTAAATTCAGGGAATCAGTATTTATAGTGGAAAAAACACAGCTCGAATTTGATATGATCAACCGTCAGTCGATCAAAAAAGTTCTATTATGATGGTGTTAAATCGACATTTTCATGTGAATTGGTGGAAGTTTACCAATGTTTAGTCCTGAATACTATTACAAATGTGAGGACAGTCATTACTTCCTTCTTGCATACATTGTGGAAGTACACTTCTTTTCGTAGCACCTGAAAAGAAAACTGGGTTGAGAGTGGTCTTGAAAACCTGGGAGCATAACTAATCCATTTTTACAGCAGTTGTTTGAATCTTCTCATCAGTCTCTTTTTGCATATGTGCATCCTGTGCGGATTGCCTCGATATTGCCTCCAGCCACAAGGATTATAATGAGATGGATAGTGGCTAGCAGCGAAATCCTGGACACATCATCTGGATGTACCTCCATCCCAGATTCGATGTTTACTCCGAGACTCGAACCCAGTACCGTTCTCTCCAAACACCATCGAGTTATCCACTTAGCGGATGTGTCTAGATATCCCTGAACCAACCAGTAAAATTGGCTCGTAACTACTTCACACTGGACATAGCTAAACTCCTTTGGCCACAGTTTCACAGAAAGATCCTTGAGATTATCTCTCAAGACTGGTCACTAATGATTTAAAGAGATAAATGATTTGAATTGTGAGGCTTCCAGACTTTGTGCTGGGAAAACGATATCAGTGTTTACTTTAAGTGTAAATCGCAAACATGATTACCACAATAAACTGATTTTAGCGCCTGTTAAATTATTTTCATTCTGGAAATTTCATGTCTCTACTTAAAATAAGTGCTAATCATATCGTCTAGAATGGCAGTAAGACCTCCACAGAACAACACAAAAAATCTAAGGTCGAGAAAACAGGATCAAACCTTAGTATGGGACCCCTCAGCTGTTCTTATCGACGAACTCGCCAAGAGTAGAAACTAGAACCTTCAATTAGAAATTCAGATTCTACCAACAGAAGTCGACCCAATGGTTTGAATGGTTAGTTTTTGCTGAGAGACTTCAAGATACCGTGTTAACTCCATGATCAGATCGTGAGTTACCACAACTAAGGGGGCCCCAATATCATGATCAGTCAAATTTTCAGTGATCCCTAATTTTAATGAAATCTCAATTAAGATAAGTTTGTGACACAAAACCACTTTAAATGAATCAAAATAACATTTACCTGAAAGTTGGAAAGCCAAAATGATACCTTAAAAACACAACATTCAGTAAAATGGTGTGGTATTTCTAAGACATTTAGTCCACCTATTTAGTATAGAAGGGATCTTTAATAAATCAAGAAGAGATTTAAGAGCACATGGATCTTCCAATGCAAATAATTGTGTTTTCACAGGATATTGGAAGTTAGGATATCACTCTTTAAAGCAACGTTATTTGTTCTTAAATAAGCGTTAATAAACAAACGATCGTCAAGTAAAATTATGAATATCCGTTGTACTACTTACCGTTGAATGACTGTCATAGTATTAGTCTCATCCACATGTTTATCAAAACTCCCAATTGATACTTCATTTATATTATCTTGTTTTAATGAAACAGACAATGATGATGATGAAGATAATGTAGAATCTGTGAAATCTTTACTTAATGTACGTTTTCTTGGTATTAAACCAAGTGTTTTACAATATTGTTCATATGTTATAAATCCTGTATGTTCTGGATCAAATAATTCAATCCATTTATGTAAGAATGTTTCTTTATAATGCATTTTAAACATATAATTTTTTAAATCTTCAATTGTAATGACACCACGTTTTTCTGTATCTAAATTATCAAAACATTTACGAAATTCAGCCATAATTATAGATAGGAAACCAACTCTGGATATATAAGCCCAGATAACCTTCTTGAACAATAAATAACTAAACTATATATGTGAAAATGTGGTTTATTTATTCCAATGCCACGTGTAAAACATTTTTTTTTAAATTAAAAAAAATTTTTTTGTAAATTCATGCGCAGTTTGTATAACAACCTACGTAGAATCATTCTGATTGGTTAATTTTAACACTAATCGATGGGCCGAAAACTAGTCAAATAGAAGACATCTTATGAATTAACCAATCAGATTATTAATCAAATTTTGTGATTCAACCAATCAGATTTTTTCTAATGTTGTATTTACATTGTCTAAAAAAATATATGTTTATATATAGTAGAACGACAAACACAACCGGCAGAGATGGTTATCATGTTATGTCGAATAGCGGGGATTTTTATCTGAATTCAATCATTTCAATGCCTCTAGACGTGTTATACAACATGTCGTCTAATCGAATGAAATACCTAATACATAATAAACGATCAAATTAAACAAATTATGTGGGAGGTAAAATCTGAAAGACCATGTTTTAAAACTGTTATTTATCTTGGCTAAATATATCATTATTTATGATAGGATATGATATATGAGTTAACACAGTTTTTCCAGACAGTGTCATTGTTTCAAAAGAAAAAAAACGTTACAAAGAAGTTAATATGCAAATAGATTTTATTTAATAGGATTTTGTGAAGATTGATTAAATGTATGGGTTGTATTCATCAAAAATTAATCTTCGTTTGAGAACTATTGAAAACTAGGGGAGACTGAATGACTGGTTCTTCATAGAATGAGACTTTTTAGCCGTGCCGACCGACAACTTGATACTAATTGAAGAAAGGACTCTTAGGTCTTATGATGAAAGCCACTGCTTCAAATAACCTGTAATATAGCTTAAAAGTTACTCAATATCATATTTGGTCCTTTATGAGGTCGTTCGAGCTCCATATTGAGACATAAAAACTATTCAGCTATCCCTAGCTGTCAATGGTGCCTTGAGTAAGATCAGTCAGTCTATGATGAGTATGGACAATAAAATAGGTTTTATCATCAGTTTATCTTCACTAAATAGACTTAAAGATGGTAAGACAGAATTATTCAGAGAAAACTTAAATATTGAAACTTGATAGGACGTAATTAGTGTGAGGGGTTTGTGGGAATTGTTGAGTTTCGTAGTTTACGTGACGAAATTATCATAATTGAATAACTTTTAAAAACCAAAAAGCACCCGAAAGTTGTTTCATTCTAATATAAGACTCTCTAAAAGAACGCATCTGTTAATTCCCCCAACGATCGAACACAGAACCTTCAGGACTCAAAGCAAGCGCTTAGCACATAGACTGCGCTCTTCACAAAACATGAGAGTTTCGAGTTAGATCTTCTTTGGGGTCATAGATGCATCTTGCTAAATAGTCCCGAACTAGACTGAAACACCTATCCATTGCTTCCTTGTTTACAATGATTATCTAACTAAGGAATTTCATGTTGTAAATTGTATAAGTTTATAGTCCCATATAGATCATTGATTTGTATGGCTGACTCTGCATTTAAAAATTCCTAACTTATTAACAAAAGTGTTTCATGTTCTGATCTACAGTAGTAGTGTGATGTGTGTTACTGACGTCGGTAGATATAATTAGTATTTATCACCAATCGAAAGTGGAGTACCTGGCAGCAGAAGGTTTAGAAAATCGAAGAAAAGAGAAGGAAAGCAGAAAGTGATTTATATGGAAACGAAGGAACAACAAAGTCTGAGACAATTGATTTATATTTTTCAGATGAAATATTACTGTTCAGTTCCTAGATTTTACCGAGATATTCTGTAACATTTTATTAGAATATATTTGATTGATCTCATTTGTGTTGTCGTTCACTACAGTTGTTGTAATGTATATGGATTATCGCTATCAACCAAAATAACTTCTTAATGATACTGACCAACTGATGTCCATCTGGAGTGGAACTCTGAAGAATATTTTTATACTTGTTTTGCATTTATTAGTAAGATGCATCTATAACATTTACATAGATCAATATTTGGACCTACATTACATAAGATTGTAGTTAGTAGAGTTACAAATGGACTATTGATAATATGGTTGATTAAATAAGTGTGATAACTGTGATAAATTAGTCTTAAAACTTGAAAAAACTGGGATTTTCACGATCCAAGACTTAAGACAAAAATTGACGGAAGACCGGAAAGAATCTGTACCTCCTCACTTTTCTAGAGAATGTAATGACACTGAATGATAGATTAGTTAGTCAATATCACATTTAACTGAAAAAATGGATTTCATCGCAAAATTATCATAAAACGCATGTGATATTTTATACGGAACGAATGTTGCACTTAATAAAAACACCATATCGAGTTTTATCCCTTACTGAAAACAATGCTGGTTTACTTAGGCGGCTATGTGTAGAGTTGCATTTTTGGATTGAAAACAGCTAATAATGAATTGAAATTATGACAGAGTTAGGTAGTATTTTCATTCTGCTTTATAAATCCTCATCGATGTATTCCCAAAAGCTTAAAATGCTATTATAGTTCCTGATAACTCTCTTACTTGAACGTTCGGAAACTAACCTCCTAACTTCTTTCAATATCCTTCCCCCCACCCAGAAATCGTCTGCTATTAAACGCAGAACAGAAAATAAACGACGAGATGTATGAAAGAAGCTTGTTATGGAAGGTTAGTTTATATATAGAAAACATGGGTATTTATGCGACTTTGAGTTTTTAGAATCTTCCGGAAATAATATGCTAACATTGATGAATAATAAAAACATAATCTACCCTTTTCTAGTATTCTTCTGAAGGTTTCTAACGGAGACTGATTAATCGAAATAGTACCAGCATTTTCACGGTTTAGGAAAAAAATTAATTGATCAATTATCTATGGCTCTTAACAGTTTTATTATTATCAGAAGGGAGTTTGTAGAGATTTTAGTAATTTTTTATAGTTGAAATCACGAGTCAGCTGAAGCTAGACCACCATGGGAAACCTGAAAGCACTGGACAGCCGTTTCGTCCTATTGTGGCGCTCCTCAGCAATGCACATCCATGATCCCACCTCACGAGATCCGAACACAGGACCTACCAGTCTCGCGAAACGGCCGTCCAGTGCTTCAAGGTTTTCCATGGTGGTCTAGCTTCAGTTGACTCATGATTTCAACTATATAAAATTACTAAAATCTTCACAAAAATCCCTTCTGATTGATGATTATATGCTCACTAGTGTCTGACTTTATGAGGTATTTCCTGAAGTTCTAGTGAGAAGCAGTAACCAGTGGATTTAAGCCAGGTCTGTTAGGAGATATCAACTCACTGAAGACATTGGTCAATGGTTGCTCAATTTCGTGAATTGATTGATGTTAAACATTAACACCGTTGGATGACGTCCGGCTCAGTGGTCTATCGGTTAAGTGGTCGTGCGCGAGACTGGTAGATCCTGGGTTCGAATCTCGTGAGGCGGGATCGTGGATGCGCACTGTTGAGGAGTCCCACAATAGGACGAGTTGGACGTCCAGTACTTTCAAGTTTTTCATGGTGGTCTAGCTTCAACTGATTCATGATCTCAGCAATATAAAGTTTTATTATTGATTTGTTTAATTGTAACATTAAGAATAATCTTAAACTTTAATGATACGTCTTCTTGTAGGCTTATTACTGACTTTTTAGTTTCTTACTATAACTGCAGACTACTTCTTCACTTGAACTCGAACAATCGAGTAAAAGAGTAAAAATATCAGTAAAATCTTTACTTTGAGGTTCACTTCTGTAAAAAGAACTTATATAAAGATGGTAGAGAAGATTTGTAGCTCAGGTGGATGATTTTGATGGAGTTCTACCTGAAGTTTGTGCTGATGATGAGGTCGTTCAGAAAGACGATGAAAGCTTCACGACCAAACCATCCAGCTCAGAGAACAAAACTCCATCAAAATTATATAAAGATATACTGATAACTATTAAGCTCTGAAAGTTTCTATAAACAGTAACAGAGTAGGCAATCATTCAGTTAGAGTTTGATACATAATTCGTTAATTTTTTTGATCTCTTCATGGTGTATGCATGAATTAGGAGTAGTATTTTTTATAGTTGAGATCATGAATCGATTGAAGCTAGACCACCATCTAAAACCTGGAAGCACTGGACGGCCGTTTCGTCCTATTATGGGACTCCTCAGCAGTGCGCACCCTGCACTCGTGAGATTAGAACCCAGGTCCTACCAGTCTCGAGCCAGAGCACTTAACCGATAAACCACTGAGCCAGCATCCAGAAGTGTTTTTCAGCTTTATACTGGTTTCTAAATATCTTATTGAGAAATTTCATTTTGTTTCCCGAACCTATCATATATGAATTCACATAAGAAGTATACAAAATAGCTAAGTAAAATTACCTTTTTTTACTATTGAAAACCAATTCGATCTCCTTACGGTAAACAGTTGAAGATTAATCATTGTAACTTGTAATAACAAAATACATACATAGGGAATAAGATTAATGTTTAGTTAAACATATTCAGTAGCCTTAGAATGAAGCTGTATTCGAATTATCAGTATGTAATGTAACAACAATATATAGTCTATTCAATATCCAAAGTCACATTGATATTGACTTATAATGATAATGATAGTGCAAGTATTTTGGTTAACAGATTATTTATGGGTTTTTTTGTTATATTATGTGCCTACGTGCTCTGTTTATACATGATGTGACGATTCCCGCCAATCAGAGAAGAGTGAATTATCGATCAGAGCAATGATACACGAAACCCGTACGAGCAGTCTAAAACACTTGTCGATCATACTTTCTGTCTAACCCAGCCAGTTAAGTCCAAAACATTAATAGCAGCCTCTGCAGTATGAATCATTGTTCTCAAACATATTGGGTTTATATACTAAACAAACTGCTCACATCGCACCATAACATAGAAAATAACATTTATACAAGATTTGGCTAAATGTGGCTGTGAATAAGGGGAACAGTAATTAATAGACTAGGGATAACTCAAGAACGGTAAATCGTATAATAATAGTTTATAGATCAAAATAAATTTTATAATACGAGGAACACGAATGTGATTACTTCAGTTACTTGACAATTAT